GCTCCGTTCTCCTCCCCGCTCAGCCATCCTGAAACTTTTGGCTTCTCCCCGCCAGCCGACGCTTGCTGCTCCTCGCCCCACCCCCCAACCCTGGAGATTTTTTTTTATCCCCGTTGCCACAGCCCCTACAAGCCGGGGTCAGCAGCGGGGATCCATGGAGTCACAGATCCCTGCCTGGAGCGCCCGGTATTTTTGATAATAGCAGTCATCAGCGGCTTGTTAGCCGCTGATGACAGCTATTAATTTAAAGGGGACAGTCTGCTGAACAGTTCTACTATAAGCTACTATCTACTATCAGCTTATAGTAGAACTGTAAATGCCAGGTCCGTATGGCATACTGACCTGGCCAGCTGGAAGCACTTTTGTAGGTCCGTATGCCATACGTCCTTGGCAGCGAAAGGGTTAAGGGCCTGTTCACATGAGATCAGGTCCTGATCAGGTGCTGATCAGCAGACGTGGAGCTGCTGATGCAGTGCGTTTTTGATGTGTTTTCGGTCCGGATGCTGACAGTTACTTTTTTGTCAACGTTGATGACATCATAATAAGTGGAGCAAGAATGCAATTTTTTCTTTTTTTTCCCCCCTTAGCTGCATTGCGTTTCCGTTGCGTTTCGTGCGTTTCCGGACCGGACAAAATGTGACATGCAGTATTTTTTCTGTCGTAAGCTGAACGGACTGCGCACGTGAGAACTGGAGCCCATAAAACACATAGGGATACATTGGGATGCATTTTGAGTGCAGCAGCGGACGGAGCCGGTCAGCACACAAAACGGACGTCGTGTGAACAGGCCCTCAGGGTAGAACTAGATTTTTGGGTTCGCCGTTACCATGGGATTGCACATAATCCCCGGGATTTGTGAAGTTTGTGAACTGGGAACTTCTGGCAGAAAAGTCTGTAGGTTCGCCTCCAGAAATAAGGGACCCAGCTCGCTCTGTATAGAAGGGTGGGCTCACAGCAGCCGCAGTGTTAAGCTGGGTATACACAGTTACAATTTTGTTTTTAAACGTCATTTTTGGAACATTTCATTTTCTTGGAGTAAATCAACAATGAACAGTGAATGTGATTTTCAATCGGGAAACTTCAATCATTCCAAAATCGATGATTAACATCAAGTGAGATTTTGAAACGAAGAACTCTAGATCGCTCGGGCTGCCTATATCCCAGCAACTTAGAACTCTAGGTGGCTCGGGCTGCCTATATCCCAGCAACTAAGAACTCTAGGTGGCTCGGGCTGCCTATATCCCAGCAACTTAGAACTCTAGGTGGCTCGGGCTGCCTATATCCCAGCAACTATAGAACTCTAGGTGGCTCGGGCTGCCTATATCCCAGCAACTAAGAACTCTAGGTGGCTCGGGCTGCCTATATTCTAGCAACTTAGAACTCTAGGTGGCTCGAGCTGCCTATATCCCAGCAACTTAGAACTCTAGGTGGCTCGGGCTGCCTATATCCCAGCAACTTAGAACTCTAGGTGGCTCAGGCTGCCTATATCCCAGCAACTTAGAACTCTAGGTGGCTCGGGCTGCCTATATCCTAGCAACTAAGAACTCTAGGTGGCTCGGGCTACCTATATCCTAGCAAGGAAGGACAATGGCAGCTCCAATAGAGTGCATTTGCACTGTACACATGTAAATATGAGCACAATACCAAACACATGCAGGACCTCAGAAACAGAGTTTTCCATGTTAATTTTATGGATCCAACTTTACACACTGTGGGGGGAATTTATCAAAACTGGAGCAGGTGCCCAAAGTAACCAATCAGCTTCTCTCTTTCAGTTTGTTAAACTTTCAAAATGAAAGATAGAAGCTGATTGGTTGCCACGGGCAACTGCTCCAGTTTTGATAAATTTCCCTCTGTGTGCATAGGTCCATAGAAAACAATACACCTGTGTTCATATCCTTAAAAAACAAAACAAAAACACTGTACTGATAAAAATGCTGCATTTTATTACAGCCGTGTGCATGAGACCATAGGGGACTATTTATCTGCAAACACATCCTGCTCTCCTCAGCATCTCTCAGTCACGTTGGGGCCCCCCAGTCCTCCTGTGAAGTGAGCTCTATAGCTATGTAGTGGTGTAAGGGCCCCTGTGACCCCCTGTCCTCCTGTGATGCTCTATAGTGGTATCAGGGCTATCAGTCCTCCTGTAAAACAAGCTCTATAGTGGTGTCAGGGCCTCTGTGACCCCCCCCCAGTCCTCCTGTGACGCTCTATAGTGGTATCAGGGGCCCCAGTCCTCCTGTAAAACAAGCTCTATAGTGGTGTCAGGGCCTCTGTGACCCCCCCCCAGTCCTCCTGTGACGCTCTATAGTGGTATCAGGGGCCCCAGTCCTCCTGTAAAACAAGCTCTATAGTGGTGTCAGGGCCTCTGTGACCCCCCCCCAGTCCTCCTGTGACGCTCTATAGTGGTATCAGGGGCCCCAGTCCTCCTGTAAAACAAGCTCTATAGTGGTGTCAGGGCCCCTGTGACCCCCAATCCTCCTGTGAAGTGAGCTGTATAGCTATGTAGTGGTGTCAGGGCCCCGAGTCCTCCTGTGAAGTGAGCTCTATAGCTATGTAATGGTATCAGGGCCCCTGTAGCCCCGAGTCCTCCCATGAAGGGATCTCTATAGCTATGTAGTGATGTTGGGGCCCAGAGACCTCCTGTGAAGCGAGCTCTATAGCTATGTAATGGTGTAAGGGCCCCGAGTCCTCCTGTGAAGTGAGCTCTACAGCTATATAGTGATGTTGGGGCCGAGTCCTCCTGTGAAGTGATCTTTATAGCTATGTAGTGGTGTCAGGGCCCCCAGTGAAGTGATCTCTATAGCTATGTAGTGATGTTGGGGCCCTTATGCCCTCTCTCCAGTTCTATCCCATATAGAGTCTCAGTACCTCATGCAGCCTCCGCCGGGCCCGGCTCAGCACCTCCTCATAGCCCTTGTGTCTCAGCTCGCTCAGGCTCTCGTAGTACTCCTCGGGGTCGTCACTCTCTGTGAAGAGGACCTGTGAGAGGATCCTCCATCCGCAGGTGTCCAAGGCATGGCTGAGGTAGAGCTGCAGGCGGCGGCCCAGATCCTCCACCTCATCCTCACTCAGCTCCGGGGCCCCGAACAGCACCGACCACACGGCGGACGGCTCCTCGGGGAAGGAGGGCAGGCAGGGCTCCAGCTCTCCGCTGACGGAGCACAACTGCTGGTGGACGGCCCGCAGGTCGTGAAATGAGAAGAGTCCGGCCCAGCTGCTCTCCTCCTCCCCCTCCTCCTGCTCCTCACGGGCCGCCGCTTCCTTCTTTGGGCTGCCCCGGGGACTGCGGCCGGTGCTCTTATCCGCGCTCCTCTGGCGCTGGGCCGTCCGGTTGTGGCAGGTGATGGCGAACTTGCCCTCCACCTCGTTCCAGGCCACAATGAACACGAACTTGTGCCTCTCCTTCTCCTCGAACACGTTGGGCCTCACGGCCACCCAGTCCGACTCCAGCGTGTCCTCCAGGGTGAACGACATCTCCGATCGGTTGTGTCCGTGCGCGCCGGTGGTGGAGGGATCCCTCGTCACTGCTGTGCGCGCGCCCGGTGTCTGCGGCCGGATCTCTCTCCCCGCTTGGCCCCTCTATTGTTGTTATTGTCATCAGCGGCCTCGCGCGGCGGTCACGTGACTCGCTTTGTTGACAGTCACCGGGCAGCCGAGCCGCTTCCCCTCCTCCGCATCGGCGATCACCCACGTGACCTCTCGGCCGGTCTGCCGCATCACCCGCCGGTTCTCTCTCCCGCGGAACGCACAGCTGCTCCCTTCCTGCGCTCTGTTTCGGCGGCCTACCAGCTCAGGACTTCTTCTGGAGACAACAAAGCTGTCAGGCCGGCGCTGACGTCACGACCCGTGAAAGAAACGTAAACATGCGCACGTGTCAAAGGAGCGCGCTTGCGCGCGTGACCCGGGCTGGTGGGCACGCGCGTATAGTCTGCGGCATTTGCCTGTGCCCGTGGTGGTCGCTGAGTGTGAGGGTCTGCCCTGCGGTGTGTGTTCGCAATGCACGGTGCCAGAGATGTTCTTCAGATTGCTCGATCTCATATTCATGTTCTCAGATTTTCAATGCCTGACTCCATCTTTTAAAGTGGAACTTCACCCAAATCCTAAAAAGTTCAAAAAGGCACACTTAAAAAAAGTTATTACATGTCAGTTGTAAAATACATACTTACCTGACTAAGTACACTTAGTCAGGTAAGCTAGCTATATGCAATTATCAATATTCAGTATGAAAGGCCAACTCTGGGCTAAATTATATGGTCTTCCGGCTGTTTTGTTCCGCCGTATGCCTTACGGCGGTGGCAGCGAAAGGGTTAAAAAAAAGAAAAGCAGCACAGGCCGCAATATTTACCTTTAATAAGGAGCTGTCTCCCGCACTGCTTTTCAACCACAAGATGTCCTCAGTCTTCCCCAGCGTCAATCAACACCAATGACTGAGGACAATTCTGTGAGCGCAGGGTGTCATGGGCCCGCCCTCTGAGAGGGTGTCACCACAGCGCCCTTCATTCACAGTATATTGATGCAGAGAGTGGTTTTGACATCATCAAATCAGAACTGCTCTCTGCATCTGATGGATCACCTAACTAAAGGAGGACCTGCAATGTCATGTGACCATCCCAAAGTGTTCAGAAAAAGGTATATATATGTATATATATACATATATATATATATATATACATCATTACATATAGCGGGGAATGGATTTCCCCAGGTGTCAAAAGACTTGAGCAGCTGGCAGAGCGTTATGCCCAATGTTGGGAAATTTCTATGCTCTTTGGCTCCATCTTGCCATGCAAGCGGTATTCACCCAGCTATACGCTGAAAGGAATGTTTATACATCAGCCCTTTAGTATTAATAAGAAGTCTTGACAACCTTACATATTAGGCTTAATTCACTAAGTTATTAAAATTGTTATTTGCCATAACTACCTACCACTTTTTCCAGTACTGAGAGCCAATGACAGCTGACAATAAAATAGTCACATGGTTGAAAATAAGGATTGCAATGGCAAATAGCTTGGTGAATTGAGTCTGATGCCTCCCAATATCTCAGAGTGTGTATGTACCCAATGGCAGAGCCCATCTCGAAGGAACATAGATGACTACAGGGCTCTGCTGTGTGACACTGTTATGTTCTCAGTGTATGAAATCAGGCAGAAGATGGAGGAGGACCTGTCAGACCTCAGGTGACACCTGACAGCCAGGCCTGGACAAGGAAAGCTAAATGAAGATGGCAAATTACATATTTCATTAGTAAGCCTGCTCTAGTCTATTAATTCAAATATTAGAGAAGGTATACAGTAGTCAGATGGCTATAGGGTCACAGGTCTGCTCCAGCTCTACATATACACACATTACTTTATATAATACTTCCTACACTCGCACAAAGACTACCCTCCAGCTGTTGGGGAACTATAAGTACAAGGAAGCTTGCCATCAAGCCACAGGCATGACTCACAGCTGCAGATGACCACCCCTACACTAAGCACACATGTCAGCCAATGCATGTTGCCCACGGACACAACATGCCTGCAGCTGCTACATTGCTAAGCAAGAAAAAAATAAAGCATGTCACGTGCTTACTTTTGATGTCTTTCATGCTTTTTGTGCAAGTTGTCCAATCAGGAAACATCGTTGCATCAATATCACATCAAGCTTTGTTCCTCTTCTCTTTCTTTTTATTATTTGGATCCCTGGGATTATATAGTGCAGGATGACTGCGCATTAGCTGAATAAAATCATCATCATCAAATGAGTTCTCTGACACTTCCATTTTGGATCCCACTATACTTTGCAAATAGGAGGAGGGCCTTGCAAACAGATGGCTTTGCCTACAGGGGACGGACTAAATGGGACAGGCTTGGCAAACAGGAAACGGGTTTGTAAACTGCGCTGAAACGCGATTAAAACCGCACAAAACCACACTGATAAGCGCGTTTCCATTGAAGTCTATAGAGCAAAAGGAGCTGATCAGTGCTACAAAAGAAGTATTTCAAGCGACAGGCGTATTTTAACGCGTGATTCAGCATGTTTGCCTGAACGGCCCCATAGGAATTTATGGGATTTTAAATGCAGGCGTTTCAACGTGGAAAAAAACGCACAATGAAAGCCCTAGTGTGAACGGGGCCTTAGGTCTATGGGGAGTCGGATGTTAATGTACGTTTACATTAAATTACCCCCAATCGGCCATAAGACCTATCCATAATAGAACTGTGTTCCATTTGGGTTTCCAGACATGGACAGAGTCGGGGGTAATTGGATGTAAACAGATGCACATCCATTTAGATCCAGCTGCCCATAGACTAACATTGAGCTTCCGATCAGATCTGCCTGAAAAATTGACAGACGGGCGTGATAGGACTGCGTGTCTGAAAGGAAACTTAGTCTCTGACAGGAGCTCAGCCTTGATATGTTCTTTTAGTGGAAAGCCTGTAATACAGCCATTATTACCTCTTTAAATATCGTATATGTGAACTGTTTTAGTTGTCAAAAGATTAGTTAATTCTGCCCAGCCTGTGAGTCACCCATCATAGCCGAGCTGCGTGGCCAAAAAAAGGCGACATCACAATTTATATGTCAGCTTTGCAGATTACTGTAATACCTGCAATAAGTGGGCAGATTTGTTGTTCAATGAGCTGAGTTCTGCAGTTCGGAAGAGAGAAGATTTGGGAGTCAGTGCATTACATGACAACAGATTCAGGTGAGTATATGCTTCATTTAGATTCCTTTTTTTAATTTGTGGGGTGCTTAGCTAGACGGAAAGTGGGATGCATTAATTGTGTGGGGGAGGGGGGTCCTTGGCTGGCTGGCTTTAATGTGCAATCATATTTGGGTATACATTGCACCATGGGCCTATCCAGGTAGTATTGTTTACTAAAATGCTAAACATATCAGCAGAGAAGTAGAAGATATACATAATTATTTGGTAATTATGGGCTTCATTTATTACATTTCCATGTAGTGTACCACAGGACGGATGCACTTCACATGGTACTAGCTCCCCTAGATGGTGTTGATAAATATAGGAATTTCCTATATCAGCATCATTTAGGGGTGCTAGTGCCATGCGAACAGCATCTACCTGGCTACATGCCAGGCAGAACTTTTAAAATAGAAGCCCTCTAAGTGCCTCTGTGTCTTTATCTCTGGATTGTGGATAGAGACTTCTAGTTCATCCAAGCACAGTTCATCCATAGTTCATTAAAACCCATAAGGTGACCTTTATAGCATGAAGATGAATTACTCCACAATCCATATAGCTACAGAAGTGAATGAGGACCGATTTGTGATTTCCCTGCTTGTTTATAATACGTAAAAGCTTAATGTGCGTAGTCTGGGCACAGGTATGCTTTAAAGTGATTTGCAACTTTCAAGGCAACCAATGATGCAGCTCACAGTCATAAAGGTAACATTGGGTGCACATGACTAGTCATGTTAGCCTACTGGTGAATTTTATTTTGTTTTTAATTTTTTAAGAGTTCCATTGTATTAGAAATATAGCAAACTGACTAGGTAGTCAGCTTAGTGCAGTACAGGCTTAGCTTTGTTCCCCACCATGGTGGTGGACAAGGGTCAGCATGGGCTACCGGACTGGTCTGCGGCTACGCAGCGCCCTACACAACAAACTGGGATACGCTTTGTGTTCAGACCTTTCTATTGGAACCAGCATTAACTTATTCAGCAAAGTGAGCTACAGTATCTCTTCTATTGGATCCATCTACAGGGGCCAGCCTTCGCTCCCTATGTGCATCAGTGAGCCTTGGCCGCCCATGATCCTGTTGCCGGTTCATTGGTTTTCCTTCCTTGGGCAACTGACCACAGCAGACTGGGAACATCCCATAAGAGCTGCATTGTTGGAGTTCCTCTGACCCAGTCGTCAGGCCATCACAATTTGGCACTTGTCAAAGTCCCTCAAATCCTTACTCTTGACCATTTTTTCTGCTTCCAGCATATTAACTTCAGGCACAAAATGTTCACGTGCTGCCTAATATATCCCACCCACTTCCAGGTGCCATTGTAACAAGATAGCCAATATTATTCACTTCACCTCTCAGTGGTCATAATGTTATGGCTGATTGGATACATACAGTATATAGTATATGTGCTTGGAGCTATGCTTTAACGTGGATCGATGCATTAACCTGGAGCACTGTTTTAATCTATCTCTTTCTATGCATATATTTAATTGCCTTCAAATGATTGCACATAGTTGTGAATAAAGAACATAATTCATTGTAATAATTAGAGTGTAATGACAGGTTCTTTATCTTCCTTCTAAACTGACATATGTAGTTTCATGAAGCAATAAATGAAGGTCACTTTGCCCATTACCATTATGATAATCAATATAAAAGGTATTCATGATCCCATTAGCTTCAGAAGTGCTGACTGAAATACTTGGGAGTCTGCAAGGCTATTTGCTTATTGTAAAGGTGCACACTATTTTATACATTTTAGGAGGAAAATTGATTTTCCCTAACAGCATTATTTGTACACATTTAGAATGGTCTAAATATAAAGACAGCTAAAGAATATGACTGAG